AAATGGTCCGGTTTTAAAAACACTGGGGGGTTAGTTTTGGGATGAACCTAGGATGCAAATCATCTCTTTTTTTCCAAGTATTTAAGTAATTTATTTCATTATTATGGTTCATATTGTAAAGAGAATTGTACTGTAGACACTTTGGTATTTCAATGTTATTATTATTATTATTTTTCAGATGATTAAAAATATATGTTACTATTTGAATTTTAATTTTTTTTCTAAAAATTAGTTTGAGTGGAAATTTTAAACCCATATATTTAATATCGTCATATAACAATATTAAAAAAATATTTTCAAAAATTTAAAATTATCAAATTACCCGATCATTTAAATGGTTCAATCCCAAGGAAATAAACAAATCAAGGAAACCGCCCATTTCCATGGAAAAGGAAAAGCTTCGTACTTTAAGAAGCCATGGCCACGAATTGATGCAATGATATAGTGAATGAGTGCGTGTGTGTGTTTGGGTGGGTGGGCGGCGGGGGGGGTGGGGGTGGTGCGTGCGCACGTGTGTGTATATAGCACTTACAAACAAATACATGTGCACATATTTCATTTTTTATCAAACTTTTAATATCTTGTGGGCTTGAGCAAGCGTTTGTTACAAAATGCTTGTAAGTCATTATATGCACAACTAGTTTTAATTAGATTGATCACTATGAAAGTTAACTCCTATGCATGTGATTAATTTCATTATGAATAATGTGGTAACTGACTTCAAGACCATGGAGGAATCTTCTTACATTTTGAATCGATCATGTGATGTGGAAATTCTTTGTTGATTCTCATTCATGTGCGACTTTGGGTCACAAATGCATTGATACAGGTAAGTGCAAGCAGCAAAGTTCCAACATGGATCCAATTACATCACGGAAAAAGAAAAAACAAGATCGCCAAGAGCTTCTAGAGCCTTCAGAATGTTACAAGTGGCCACTTGTGTGGATTGACTTGGAAATGACTGGTATTTTATTTACTTAATTTCCCTAATTCTTTATGGTCTTGTAATGCAAATTGTTAATTACAGGGGCCATTTGTTGTTTTCAATTCAAGCTTTTTGTTGAAATGAAGAATTTAATTGGATGATTCTAACATGAAGCAAAATGTTGTTATAATATTTTTTGTCAATTTTATCTTTAATATTTTTTTGATACTCTTGGGACCATGTGCTCAGAAGTTTAGGAAAGACAATAGTTATTGACATTTAAGAGTATTCGTGTGTGGCAAACCTCTGAAAACCCTAGATATGACTGAGTCTTATTTGTTATGGTTTAGTGTAGAACATGTTTACATGATCAGTTGCACAGAATCAGGAGTGTGTCCATAAAAGCACTAAACATGCTTTTTGTTGAACAATCTAATTGAATTCATATCTCATGATTGTGTGGAGTTCGGGTTCATTGAAACATGTAGACTAAAATCTGGGAATTTGAATTCATACGTTGCTTTAATCATCATCAATATAGCTTTTTCTCAAGTATTTGGGGTTGGCTACAGGAATCCTAGTCCGCCATTCTACTCTATCAAGGCCTATAGCCTCATTTAGGCCGTAACTCCCCATATCTTTTCTCACTACTTTCAACCATGTCCTTTTGGGGCTACCCCTTGCCTCTATTGAGCCTTCTACTTGAACGAACTCGTACTTCCTAACAGGTGCTGTACTGGGTCTACGTTGCACATGCGCAGCCCACCTAAGTCTACTTTCTCTCATCTTATCATCTATTGGAGTCATACTTAAGTACTCCCAATTGTATTCATTTCGAATTCTCCTCTTGCCACCATCCATCTCAACATCCTCATCTCAGCTACACTCATCCTATGGGTGTGTTGTTTATACATTCATAAATAAATTTCAGAGTTATATTAACTGAAAAACAACGTATATACCTTTGTAAAAATGTTGCACACAAATGTTCTTACAAACCATTATGATTTACTACTCTGATCTTGTAGAAGCCGACCCCAAGTAATCGGGAATAGGCTTGGATGATGATGATGATCTTGTAGAAGGTTATGATATTAGTAAATTTATTTATGCCTGACATACCAGTGCCAACTCAATACAACACCAATACCTATACAGTATATTCTTAGGAGATTATTAATTATAAAATGATAGTACAACTATAAAAAGTATAATATGAACAAGATACTTACCATGCATTATGATATTGTATACATATGAATGCATAGTTTTGCACTATATAAGTTATATAATACATATGCATTAATGAGTCAGATAGGATACTTGTATCCATATCTGTGTCCTGGATTTAAGGAGATACTGAAATCTAAATCATGTCCCTGGTTCCTTTATCTGTGCCAATATATGATCCATATCTGCACATCTTAAGTGGAATGCTGTTTCCTATGACGTAGATGCTAGCAAGTGTTTACTTTGTTGTTCTTGCTCTCATGCTGGCTCAATTTTTGATAAAAGATTGTTTAGATGTTTCTCTTGCTCTCTGGGTGTTTTCAGTAAACATTCCTTGTGATTTTACATTTTAAAGCTAGCTTGTTTGTGATATGCTGATGCCTGCATTTCAGAATTAGTTCTTCTTTGAGTTTTAAAGAGAAGTTAAATGGGAATTAGTTGTTGTGTAGGGAATTTTTATTGGTCTGTGAGAGTTATTCTTTTGTTAATTTCCATAATTTTAAGGATAAAGTACATTTATAAGATAAGCCTGGAGCATGTTTTCTGCTAGTACCACTTCATAATTTGCACGGACATAACCAGTCTTATGCATAGTTTTTATTTTGCAATTCTTTCTTGTAACCATTATGTAAATTCATGAACAGCGGCAATGTTCAATGATATTAATGGTTTGCATTCTTGCATGCATGCCTGGGATAATGTTCCATTAACTGCAATTCTTTATCAGTTCCCTAAAATAGTTGCTTTAGAGTTGACCGTTATATTCTCTTATTGTATAGCTATACCTGGAAGAAGATTAATGCCTCTGATATTTAGAGCTTTTACCTAAGTTCTTGCTTTAAGAAACTAAACTGTTATAGCAGAATAGATCATGGCATATTAAAATAAAATGATTTGTTATGTTATGAGATATTTTAACAGATGAAGGCCTACAAAAAGTCCGTATCACCAATGTAAAACTGTGACATTCTTTGTCATGATGAAAAATTTTGCCCCACATTGACAAAATTTTAAGCATGGTATTTTTGGGAATATGGGGGGTCCTTGTGACTTGTATACTGCAGTTTGAAATAAAATTGGATTTTCACCATTAATTGTTCAGAGAGAACTTAACTAAATAAGTTAAGTTCAGTTTGCATAAATACTGTACTAGAGGCTGGTCATGAAGATTAGCAACATGTTGGAGTTGCATGCTGATGCCTCAGGCATGCACATAATGGAATCCTTGTGACTTATATACTGCAATTTGAAATATAGTTACCCAAATCTTGTACCGAGGTCGCGATTCTGATTCAGAATAAAAAATTCACTATTCCTAGGGTGAATTGCGATTCTTAGAAGATAGGAATCGCTATTCTAAATTTCTCGAATCTTGTTCCAAATATTTTTCTGGAACCTTGATTCTTGGAAGCTAGGAATCGAGATTCCATCTCACAAAATTCACAATTCATAGGTGCACAACACTGGCATTTAATGTATATGAGACCTGGATTTCGATTTTTAGGAATAGGGAATCGATGGTTTTTTGAAGCTAGATTCACAACATCAAAATGGGGGTTCATAGATGCACCGAACCAGTGGGACTCATCATCCTGTTGGGCGGTTATTAATTTTATAGCTTGCACATCGGTCCTAGTGCTATACAATTGTCGGTAAAACAATTCCTCCATTTTCGCCATTTATTACCAAGTAGTGAATGAGTTGGGAGTCTTGAATACCAAGAACATGCTGCTTTGATGAGAGAGCAATGAATTGCTTGAGCAATAATTGCCTGTCTAATGCCATACTAGCACATACAATGATAAATGAGCAACATGCTCTTGCAGGGAGTCAGTCCTGTCAAATATTTCGAATGCAGGAAGTTGGTGTCTCGCTAACAGGACCTCATCAATGTCTACTAGACATGGCCTCTTGTACATTGTGATAGGCCAGGCGTCCGATAATTTTAACTTCTTGAGTCCCTCCATTATCATGGATTGTATGTCCGTTTGGGTACTTGCAATTGGATTAGCAAGAGGTATAGTTAGCATCCTAATTACCGGGATGTCCTACTTTGGTAGGCGATCCCTTCTAGGATCTGGATTTTGTTGCTCCCAGAACGGATCTCTCAGGGATCTCAATTTTTAAATTTTGGGATCTCGAATCCCATTGATAGGGATCTTGATTCCTGCTATTAGGGATCTCGATCCCAACCTTAAAGACCAAGACAACAACCAAACTGATGATTTTCTTTGTTTATAGCCAACTAGCAACACAATTACTGCTTGCTTACTATCAATAATGAGATCCCTTCTTTAAAAAGTATACGTTATCCTAGATTGTCATACACTTTAAGGTTGGTAAAAAGATCCCCAAAATGTTGAGATCAAGATCCCAAAAGGTCGAGATCAAGATCCCCAGAAGGTTGGAATCTCAATCCCTGACATTTGGGGATCTTGATCCCTAACATGTGCTTTATACATGTGACGTTCCCAACCATAAGGATCTTCTAGTGTTTCACGATCGCTCGCTCCCAATCCGGATTTCAGTACCATTCCCACTCCCGATCCCAACAACTATGGTTAGCATTGAGGCAGATACGAACTGCACTTCTGTAGCCAAAGGCTTGGAGTATTGATCGATACCCCTGTATGAAAGGTTGAGTGGGCAAAGTGTTAAGTTTAGTCGTTAGGGTTGCTATTTCAGCATCTTGTTTGGCAAGCATTGCCTCGAGTCTGGGCCTCCTTTTTAGCTAATATTTTAAATAGAACTCCTCAGCCGACCCTAATTAGTTGGGAAAAAGGCTTTGACAATGATGATCTTATAGAAGTTTTTTTTGTTTTTTTGTTTGATAATGTTAACATTGTATTACTATAACAAGAAAATACAAAAGATTGAGGAAAGAGAGAGCCGAGATTACCCTCGAGACGAGTATCTCAGTCAAAAAATAAAGCCAAAACCCCTATACAAACTATATACTTTTGTAGGAACTGTATACAAAAGATTGAGGTTTCCAAAAACTTGGGCTTATAGGGACGCCCTTTTACAAGAAGTCACAAAGAGATTTAGAGTCCTAGAGAACCGCGATGGTCCAGTGCAAAAAAGGAGGTGGACCATTCATTGTCTTCCAAATGTGGTCGTTGTCGAGCATCATCATTAGCTAGGAGGTCGGCGAACTCGTTCGACGCCCGCCGTGTTTGTCTCCAACAAACGTTGGTATCCCTACATAGGTAGTAAATCTCATAAAAAATCCTAGATAGGTACCAAGGAGGATTAGTTGTGCCTGCCACCCAAGATAGAATGTTTTTAGCGTCTCCTTCCTCCACTAAGGATTGACCCCAAGACGGGTCTAAAAATTTAAGGCCCATTAGTAGAGCCAATGCTTCAGCAAGTTGTGAGTCTCCATTGCCCACATATTCTAAATATGTCATGAGAACATTGCAGATGTGATCTCTGAAGACCCCCTACTCCTGAATGGCCCTGATTCCCCAATGAACAGCCATCAAAATTTAACTTTATGGCATTTTCTGGAGGAGGCAACCAGTTGTGGGGTCTCTGTAGCTTGAAAGGCTGGAGTCGGATAATATTGTCCCATTGCCTGAGGAAAGAACTCATAGGAATCCCAACAAAGGTACTATGAGTGGAGGCCCAAAAGGCTACAAGTGATATAACCTTGTGAAACAGCCCTGAAACTTCATTTCTATGTCCTTGAAAGATCCTCTGATTGCTTTCAAGCCATAAAACCCATACTGTAGCAGCGATAGCTGCCCTCCACAGGGTTGTTCCTGCCTTGGGCCGAGGACCACCTGAATAATGAAAAAATAGATCTT